TTTAAACCCAGTATTTTAGTTAATCCACGTTCAGTAATGTACATTAATACGTATAAGGCTATAAAGGATTATATGAGAGTACTGAACTAGATTTGGAAAATTGTGTGAAGTTTAGTCACTACAGAAGATTCAAACTAATCTATAACGGCCAAGATATAATGGTCACATCTTATCATATTATATAGATATCAAATATGTTTAAATCATTATAAAGTCATAAGGAATCCTTTATATAATTTAAAGAAAACATTCTAAGAAGACTCACACAGACCGAGAGAGAAGTGTAGAGATCTATTTTGTGGTAGTTATGCTGTTCCTGATACAAATAGATCAATTAGATCATACATAGTAAGCCATCAACAATTTGATCAGGTTTAAAAAGTAATGTTTTATAGATACTGCACTTTTTTTTTAAAGACAACTGCTATAGGAATATATCATGTGTTGCGAGACTTTACAAACATTCATGAAGCGCACACAAGCTCAAAACAACAATTTGTGGATCACACAAAATGTTGTCCCATGTAGAGATCGAACCCGCAACACTAAGAAGCGGCCAGGTGAACGCTTAATCCACTACGCCATCCGAGCATTGACATGTGATTACTATTAACTACCTATTCTGGTAAACAAATGAAAATGAAGATGGTCAATGACAGCAGGGAAAGCATGAAGTACATTAAGTCAAGACATACATAGAAGTGGACTTAAATACACTTGATAGTAGGCTCTCGAGATGAAAGAAGTTACAAGGGACCGCCGGAAAATGCCAGAACCGCCGCGCACTAAACAAAATCAGTTATGAATAGTAAATTAAGACTTATTGTGTAATCACAGAAATCATTCAATACTGAGTATTACGGTCCTCTCTTCCGTGTATAACATTGCTTTTTATAATATATAATGAAACATGGATATAAATGTCCAGCCGTCCATTTCTATTGCCCCTGAAGTAGATCGAACCAACAGCCTTCTTATTGCCTTTGTCTTTACAGTATGCACATACTCTAAAGATAAGCTTCGAACAAAACTATTATATCTAAATTTATATGAATGAATGACCAATGTCATTGAGTTATTGACCTTCAGAACGGTTTTTATCGCTCCGAACAAAAATTAGTATTATCGGTTTGACAATAATCCAGGCAACATTTGAGTGCGGCTTAGAGTAAGGTTAGATATTATATTAGGCTTAAGTGCTATAGATATATAAAGAACAATAATTAGTCTATTTTTTACTATTTTTCGTGTATGCAGACAAACGAGCAGATTGGTCATCTGGCGGTAAGTGACTACCACCGCCCGTGGATACTAGCAACTTTCCCGCCTGAATCACCAGGGAGAGAGGGTAGGGTATTACCATAAATTTGATGAAGCACGACTCTCACCAAAAGCGCATCCAGAACTGAATAAAATGTACAAGGATTTATAACTATTTGTGTTTAGTTTCAATATAAGCACACGTATCTGATTCTATGCATGTCTCACGCTACCTGATATCTTTGTAGTTTATTTCAGACAGAGAACATTTTCTAATGATACTGATTACAGTGGTTGTCTCAGAAGCTTAATTTTGTTTATAATCGTAGACTGGGACAATATTTATTACGAAACAACTACGCAAAATGACAAAATAATAGCTCTGTTTTTGTTAGCGAAATGTTATGAAAGTAGGCAAAAACGAATGTTCTTAGAGAGTGAAGATGCTGATAAGTGGTTACTTGCCGAACTATATATTTTCTTTACAATAAGCGAGACAAGCTTTTTGGAAACAAATAAATTGACAAAGCCTAAACTTATTTTATTTGTTTTATTTATAAGCCACGTAAGCCTGTTTTGGTTTTGATTTAATTTTTTTATTTTTTTCATTTCATTTCTTGCATATCACCTAGAACGTCAAAAAACTTTAATTTTCTGCCAAAACATCGTTATTACAACTCCTGTATCTATAATACTAACATTCTATAAGACACCCAATTGGATATTGGAGGAGCAGATGAAGAGTTTCTTTGGCCACCTACAGGATCCATTAATGTGTACATTATTGTAACAAAAATGGACAAGTGTTACAAATTTCAGCTCAATCTAGTTGCGTACAACTTGTAAAAAAAATTAATTGGAAACTATAATTAATACATAACGCGGCAATAAAAAAAAACCTTAACTTCAACTAAAAACGTAGTAAATAACGAATAATTATACACATAATTTAAGAGCAGGCGAGGCATTAGATGAATTAATGTTATCATTTCATCAACTGGATGCTTTCACAGTATATAAATTAGACACAAACTCGTCTGGTGTGCTTGACCTTCGTCCTTTACAAATATGAGGACTAACCAGGTAAACGAAAACATAATTAACTTTTAAAAAGTACCACCTATTTCAACGCTCCAACATTATATGATAATAACTTTACATAGGCCAAAGCCAGGTTTCTGCTGCTTCAGACTGCTGATAAACATACTTGTATATTTCTAAATACATACATATTATAGACTAGTTGGTACCCGCAACTTCGTCGCGTGGAATTAAATTGAAAATGTTTGTTCAATTAACAAAAAAATAAATGGTGTAGAACGGTACACGGGGTACTTCGGGTTCAATTACCCGGACCGGGCAAAATTTTATAGGGGTTTTCTGAGAGAAACAATAGCCTAAGTTACTCCTTATATAGACAGCTACCTGGTAGTAAAATATTATCAAAATTGTTTTGAAGATTACCCGGAACAAAACGGGACAAAAAATATTTAAACTGTTTTAAGGCATAGGTAAATAACCGTGTGAGCATAAAGAAAAACATTTATTTTGACATTATAAACAATAGTTTTATTTATTTTAGTTAAATTACACTCAGACACAGAAAAAGTTATTTGTCTTCGGTGGGAACAAAAATTTTCAAATAACTTTTCACAACTGTCAAGATTATTCGTGACGTCGTATAATGTAGGTCTGCGGAGGGGGTACCGCACGATCTCCTTCGAGGCGGCGAGTCTCCTGGCCGGAACTCCACCGTGGGACCTGGAGGCGAGAGCCCTTGCAGCACTGTATCAGTGGCGCAAGGAGGCGCAGGAGTTGGGTCGATACCCCGAGATTCGAGAAATCGATGACCGGAAATCCCAACTCCGCCAGGTCATCATAGGGGAGTGGAGGGAACGACTCGGGCAACCGAGCGCCGGGCACGCCGTCATTGCGGCGGTAAGACCCGTTATGGAGGATTGGCTCGAGAGGCGTCACGGGACCCTCTCATACCGATTGACGCAGGTGATCACTGGGAAGGGATGTTTCGGAGATCACCTGTGTCTGATCCGCAAGGAGCCAACGCCTGAGTGCCACCACTGCGATGGCCAGACCGTGGACACGGCTCTCCACACGCTGGCAGAGTGCCCGGCGTGGGTTGAGCAGAGGCGAGACCTCGTGGCGGCCATCGGAGTGGGAGTTCTCTCGCTCGATAGCCTGATTGCGGCTATCGTGCGGAGCGAGAGTGCGTGGAACTCTGCCGTCTCCTTCTGCGAGCAAGTTATGCTCGCGAAGGAGACGGCGGAGCGGGACCGGGAGAGGTTTAGAACTCTCCCGGCCCGCCAGGCCCGGGCACGGGCCAGGCAGCGCAGGCGACTCAGGCGCCGGAGGTCGCAGAACGACCTTCGTCCTCCATAAGCGCAGGCCTGGGGGTGACAGGTGAGGCCATCTGTCACCCTAGCAGAAGCAGGCCGGGGTGGCGGCGAGCGCGTTGCGAAGCGCGCTCGCTTCCAGGGAGCACAGGGAACATGGGGTTCCCACACGGGGCGGGGGTCGTCTACTCGTCTGTAGATGACCCGAGGTATGTCGGGGCACCAGGGCCTTCCTTTCTAGGGTACACCTGGTTCCCCGGCTATTAGTACCCGGCGAAGGCGTGCGGTTTTAGTCGGTTCGAGTCCGACATGCCACCGACAGGTGGTATCCGAGGGGATTTCCGCACGGAAAAAAAAAAAAAAAAAAAAAAAAAAAAGGTCTGCGGTCAGCAGAAACGGAACGCCATTTTTGCGATCAGGCCTTTCATTATGCTCGCCAGTTACGAGTCCTTTTAACAACTTAAGAATATATATTTATAATAAGTTTAGAAGAATGAAATGCATTTGAATATATGTAGATATGGTAGTAATAAGGCTTATAAACCTACTCAATGGTCTAAGATTAAAGAAAATGAATACTGTAATCATAAATAGCTTCGATCAAACTAGGTTTATTGATTGAAAATAAAGGGAAAATAATGTATTTGTATCTCATCAACTTACATTCAGTGATATTTTTTATGTCGTAGTTTAGAGGACGATTTTTTTTTAAACATACACATGCAGTTGTTATGTTCACTTGTAACTTTTATCCTCAGATGTTGATTTCTAGCTTTCTTAAAATAATATTAACAATTATTTTTTTCGGACATCTAATCGGAATTCAAACTAAGCAGAGCTTGTATTGTGAAAGCTAGATTGACTGATAAAATACTTATAATACATTTTTTTTGTATAAAGAGAGAGAAACACAAATGACTGTATCCCATTAAAAATGTGTTCTCATGTAATTCTTTATGAGAATAAAGTTTCTTAAACCCAAAAACACCCAAACTGTGAAACAAAAATTTACAAAGAATACAAAAAATTGGTCCTACCCGGGCATCGAACCCGGAACTCAGCACAGCAGTCGCATACGCTAACACTTGTTTCATCAAGGCAGTCAAATACCTTATGTTGTATTATATTTATGGTAAAATATCAAAAGTATAGAGATACTTTGTCTATTAAATAAGTAAACACATTTGTCAAGAAGCGGTCTTCTTGTAGGTCAGTATGTCGAATCGGATCGTGTTGAATTACACGTGTGGTTACGAAGAGTGTTGGAATCTCGTCCACAAATTACTTAATAGATCTACGTTAAGCTGGATCTCTGTGAAATGTAAGGTTAAACAACTGCACTCTGTTGTTAGGAGATACGTTCGTGTTTTCATTACTTCAGTATACCTCATGAATGACAATTTAATATTCTGTACGGTATGCTGGAAATTAGTGGAGAAACGTATTCATATATCAGTTCAACTAAATTATTTATTTATTTACACATCATGCACATTTGGTGCATTGGCGGAATAATTATTGATTCCCCATGCCTACTTCCACCCCTATTTTTAGGACGGTTTCTGGAATAAAAACTATCCTATGCCCTTTTCTGGGAGTAGAACTACCTTTATACCAAGTTTCATCTAAATTGGTTCATCGGTTTAAGCGTAAACAAGTAACAGACAGACACACTTTCGCATTAATAATAGTATTGATTTACATCGTACAAATGGGTAGATTTGAGACGATTTGGGGCAGACTTTTGAATTAAATTAATTAGGTAGACAGAAGAAATGAGAAATAATTACTTTTTACGGTATAGGGGAAAAGTAGCAGATAGGTGTCCTGTGACTACTGCCACTCATAAACACCTGTAACCCAAGAGTCACAAGTGCGTTACTACCCTCTAAGTACCTCTCCCCCCCCCCTGAGGCTCTGGTAACCTAACTCTTTCGGTGAAAGAAACGACGGAATTACTTAACACTGGTTTTCTGTAGCCACAGAACAGCCCCGGCCCATTGTGATGAAGCATGGCTCCACAAGGTAACTAACAAAGATTTTCATGAAAATTAGGGATGGATAATGTTCTGGTGGAGGTTCCTATCACAAACGTTTACCCATCCAAAACTTGCTGTCTCTCTAACTTTTACTACATCGCCCTATAAATTTCCTAACGCAACTAACCTTCTTCCTAAGTTTTGCTAAAAATCAATACATTTTCAAGAAAGTGTGACGTCATTCAAGCACCCGGCCATATAAAAAACCAGCCAAAATCTTTTGCATATTACGGCGACATAAACATTACTCTAAATATTTTTACTAGAAAATTCTACATCATAAGTTTAATCTTACGTTGTAAATGAAAAAGTGTCATTTAACTCTTTCTATACAGACATATGTATATACATCAGCGTTCTTACTGTAAGCAGTTCATATGAAATTTGAGTTAAAAATACTGCGGAAACATCTGTAAAGATATTGATTTGGCCATCCCACGCAGACATATTACTGCTAAATCTAGACGTAAACAAAGTGCTTCATTCACTTCATTTTGCCCGTTCAAATGAATATATAATAGAATTGTTCAACACTTATTGTTATTTAAATGAGTACTTGTTTGTTTGGAAACAGTGATAAACATACGATCATACATGTTGGACTAGGGCCTAACCCTAGAAGGGGCCCGGATGTCTTAATAACAGCTGTCCCCGGATAACTCCTATTTCGGCGCAGAGTCACCGTGTGGTTTTAGTTGGTATGGTTGCGACACACCGCCCCGCCGCAAACCCCACACACCGCAGGCAAAAGAACGGCTTAACCATTCTTGTCACATACGGATATACCAAATTACGGCACGGTGTATCGGATAACATATTACAATAGCACTGACGATCCATTTCCTTCTACACATTTTCATATTTGTGATGTGAATTATGTAATTTAGTTGAACACCTACAATAATGACCTTCAGTCATTATTGTAGGTTTTGTTTTTTTTTTTGGATGTGTGATTCAATTTTTTAAACTCATAAAAGGATAAAAAGCTCCATATGTAGTTGTATCAATATGTGATCTCAAACAACATATAACATTCTTCTGGAATTGAGCGGTCGAATGCAAAAATACTTTTTCAAATTCGATTTTCAACGAAAAAAGCACAACCCTTCAGGTTTCTGAGATATAGAGACGTTATATGCAACTCATCATCAGGTATCGTGATACACTTCAAGCACACACACAAGCCTTTAAATAGCATAGTAATGGCACGGTACTATTATAATACAGTACTCCAACTTCATACAAACGGACGAAACGCGAGCTATACCTACGCGCCTCGATCTCGGGGTGCGCTCGGGGCGCAGACACTCACGGCTGTACCGCAGTGTCGAACGGACTGTGTGTTGTTTTTTTAACAATAACCGCGCGATTTTTTCTCTAAAAATCAGTTAATATGACGAGCAGGAAATATTGTGCTGTTTTTGGTTGTATGAATTCGTCAATAACGCATCCAGACATAAGCTTTTTAAATTACCTGGAAACTCTGAAAGGTAGACTATAAAATAATTTTACTTAGTAGTAGGTAGGTACATAATGTGTGTCTTTTTAATGGATAAATATTTCCTTTTATATCACGAAAAAAAAGGTGTTTAGATGAATAAATAAAGCAAATAGAGTAACGGAAAGTTATTGAGACGAGTGAAATAGGGAGTTATATGCGGTTCTGAATGAATCATGATACGGTAGGTACCTACCTACTTACGCTTGTGTTAAAACTTCGGTGCATGTGTGTTTTGTTACTTTGCATAATTCAAAGTGAAGACGTGGTATTTTATTATTAATAATATTTGTTTATTATCTGTGTGTATGAATAATACTAAAAAAAATTTTTTACCGTCTGTGTGTCATTAGACAGTTTTCGAAATTTTCACAAAGTGTTTCTGCTGCTACTATAACAACATATACCACTAAAAACTGGTTTTATTTTCTCGGTATTAACAACAACAGCTAGACTCATATATAATATTTAGATGTTTGAGGGTTGTGATTTTAAAACATTCGTAGTCAGCTGTTCAGCTTTTTAATAATTAATTAATTGGTGATCATCATCATCATCAACAGCCTATACTAGTCCACTGCTGGACATAGGCCTCTCCTTAGAAAGGAGGTTTTGGCCTACTATACCACGCTGGCCAGACGGGTTGGTATAGGGTTTGTTTCAAGTTTTCCTTCTCTTTGCAGTGCTGTTGTCTTGCTTAGTTTGCTCCCTTAGTCGGCTCTTACGACACCCACGGGATGAATTGGGGTGGTGACAATTTGTATTCTTAATCCGTCACCACACGGACTAATTGGTGACCAAAGAATTTTTGTTTTGAGTTGTTGCGAGTTATAGGTAGGTACCTAATTTATAGAGACGTTAATAAGCTGAGATAAAAAGTTACTTACTCGTCAGCTGTTTCTTGCATTCTAGTTGAGTAGGTAGGTGTTGGAGTTTCTAAGGATTGGAGTTTTGTAACGCGTAAGGAGAAAGCACATTTATTTTATTTTATAGAAGGATTTTTTTCGGTCGCAAATTTATAAGCCCGATTTGTTTTTCAAACAAAAACATGTTTTTTAATTAAATCTACCAATCAAAAAACAACACGCATTTTTATTGAACACTTCCTATTCAATATACAAAGTATTTCATTTATTTATATAAAAAGGATATTTACAATCACAAATCTAAATAGAAACAGAAAGTAGGCAAATATAATTAAAATGCTGGAGACGGGCAGCCCTAACGCATGTTTACGTACCGCACGGCTGTAGGCATTTATTTCTATCATGCGGCCGAGTTACACTACTGTATTATAATTGTACCGTGGTAATGGCAAGCTTATAATAGCACGCCGACCTGCATACACGGTGATATTATTTATAAGTAGATATAGAGAGAGGAAAACTTACGTTTCATTACGTTATTCGTGCAATAGATGACTTTATTAAAACTTCTGCAAATAATTAGTACTTAACTATTGGTTATTTCAGCTCTTTATGCTTGGAATGCTTTCTTTTTAGCCGATAGGTCAAATACAAGTAAAAGTACCACAGCTCTAAATAAAATACTAGTTTGAATATTATTATATGCAACTAGCCTGCTACACTTCGCTGTGGCACATTACGGTTGCATTGATGCGAAATGAGCAACAACACTGACGCGAAAAATAGAAAAAAAGCATTCTTTGGAGCGGGTTGTATATCGTGTCAAAATTTGAGTTCAATCGGTGCTGATTTTTATATGTACAAACATGCTATACTTTCATAGCGCAACAAAAATATCTTAATTTACAAAAATTGGCGTGTTGTTTGTGTTGTTGTCAGTTCGTTAATTAGGGGATGATTAACATATACTCGTATAATTACATTTACAGCATCCTAGGTTAATTACGTGTTGTGTTAACCCTATAGTAAAAAATGTTAAAATCATATCTTTTGAAGCAGTTTTTTTGCTTACGCACGTAAGCTAATGAAAATATTCGTAAAACTCTAGAACCGTGTTGTCCTAATAATATATTTCCCTTACGGCTCACCCTTGGGCCTGGCTTGTCGTAAATAACATGAAACCGCGTTTTTCATTTTAATTGGAATCCCGAACAAGTTTAGATGAAAATGTGCTTGAAACGGTACGAGTTGATTTAGTAGCCTCTTTTTTACATGAACTCGTATTTGAAATATGTATCCAATTTACAACATTTTATTTTATTTGCGAACCTAACAGCTACAGTACGAATGCATTGGTAATTTAGTTAATGAAATGCCAATAATAAGTTTCCACAGATACACAAATTAGTTTGTTCGATTCAGCGAAATCTCTAGACAGGCAAATTATCTCATACGAAAGTATGTATAACCAACTTAAAGTTGCTTAAATTGTGCTCGAAGTTGTATTTGTGTTCATCATCAACATGGAAACAATATTGTGGTATATCTAATGATGCCATTGTATCTTCTATCTGTTAATTATAAAAAGAGTTTGATTACCTTATCTTCATATAAGGCTTGGCCCATTGAAAACGGGCGGTAGTAGATCGGCACAGGCATATAATATTTTGCTAAATACTTGAAAAAATAGAAATTGTTGCTATTGTGAGTATTGATCTATGACTTGAGAGTCTACAGTCATAAGAGACGATTACAAAAAATATGAAAAAAAGATATATTGAGTTTGAATCTAATTTGGAACCTCATGATGCTAGTTTGTAGTGACGGTTAAAAAGTCTCATTTCTGCGGAAAGATATAGACCGCTATTTACCCGAAATTCTCTACATACAGTAAAATTTTAATGTATTTTGCTTTTTAGAGGGCCAGTTCGTAATTTATTTACGTTGGAATGCCCTTTTACAAAATTTTGCTTTGTTGCGTGCAGGCTCTTAACTTAGCAACGGATTTTAACGCGGTTCTCACCAATAGAGAGAGTGATGCAAGAAGAAGATTCATATGTGCAATTCATGCATATTATGGTAGAGAAAAACCGAGAATTTTAAGGATTTGTCTTAAAAAAAAGCATTCTAATAGACGAAACTAATGTACGGAATTGTATATCTTAAAAAGGTCTACAAAAAAGTCCGCGATGGTATATGTTTATCTTCTAAGGATAACTCACAGTAACCATTTTTATCTTTTAAATATTACAATAAGTAATGGGTTATTTACGAAGCTATTGTAAACAATGTCTTAGGGGATGAGCAAACAAATGTAAACCTGTTGACTGATACATGTACAAATTAATGCAAATTGTTTCGCGTGTTTATCGTTAATTATTAATTAAATTAATATGTTGTGATGTTTTATTTTCAGTTGGAGAATGTTCAGCTACTCGACAAATACAACCTACGGAACCCATCCAAGGGTACATTGTATTTCGCTACAACACACCTCATCTTCGTCGATCATGAGATGAGAAAAGAGACATGGGTAAGTAGAGATTGCGTATACAGTAACATTTTTAACCAAAATTAAGAAAAAGAGAATGACGTTATTTTAAGGTTGAACTCTTTTTATGTTGGTTGCCTCCGAACTCTCATTTATGGACCAATTATTTTCAAATTTCTTTTTTATTTGGGTGCAATAATATTTATTTTAAAATGTATAAAAAAAAAAACAAATAATATAAATATATAAAACTTACTGATGTGATAAATCTGCCAAGGTTTCTAAAATGCGAGCTCGGACTTTTGTCTTAAATGAGAGGCGGCTGGGTGCTATCCTGATTTCGAGAGGTAGAGCGTTCCTGAGGAGGACAGATTGGATTAGGAACGAAGAGTGGACACACGCGGCAGTATGAGTGGGACATAACAGGAGTGGATTGTTTGAGGAACGGAGAGTTCTATTGTGATTAGAAGATAGAATCTAATTGGAATGAGGATGTAAGGTAGGAAGTTGAAATGGGTGAGTTGAGAATAGAATAGAGGGTGGTGAAGGCGTGCAGTTGACGGTGCTGGCGAAAGGAGGAAACATGGTCGTATTTACGAAGGTTAAAGACGAATCCAATGCAGTTATTTAGAAGGCAGTCTTATTTATTGAGGAGATCTACATTCAGGTCATAATAGCATAGATCACCATACTCCAAGACAGGAACGATAAGGGTCTGTACTAGCATCGATTTTGTCCCGGAAGGAAGGAAATTCCTAAGGCCCGTAGCGTACCTGTAACTCTTTGGCTGACGCTGGTGACCTGGATTTGCCAACTGAGCTTGGAGTCGATAAATAATAGGCTTAGGTTCCTAACAGAGGGATTGAAGGGAAATATTCCGTTAAAAGTAATGGATGGCAGTTTATCTTCGTCTTTTCTTCCAGTCGTACGTTGACTGTTTATGATGATTTCTTGGTACTTCGCTGGATTCACAGCCAAACCAAATCTATCAGCCCAACCGTTAATAGCCTCCAAGTCATTGCTAACCATAAAAATGGCCTGGTTTATATCGTATATCGAGGCTTAATAATAGAGCTGCACGTCATTGGCATAAAGATGGTACACACATTTGAAGATTCGGATTGATGAGATGGATAAATACTCTACGTCTACTTGCATATCTCTCTGGGCTGTCGTAACCTCTAAACGGATGGAAGTTTTTTTTTTAAATTGACTTGATGGAGAGTTTTTGTGGCTAAAACATTAAAAAAGTGCATAATAATTGTGGCTACTTCCTTGTTTTTTAAGTGCATCCTCTAAAGGAAATAAGTACATTTCGCAGCATTCGTAGCATACTGCTGACATTCCCTAACTTACACAAAATTCGCGGTTAATAATAAAATGTTGCTGGCCTTGACAACTAGATGTAACTCATTAAAGTACAAAACACAAAACAAATTATCTCAAGCTCAAATTATTTTTTATCTCATCTTTGTTATCTTATTTAGTCAGTGTCTAAGTATAATAATACTAAAGATATGATATTATTGATTTCTAAATACGTTTTTACAATGCTAATTTCTGAAGTCCAAAAAACAAATTTTCAGTTACATTAAGGAGCTTCTAAAATTACCTTATTTCCCTATCCTCCTTTTGAAATAGAACTATTGTGTCTAAATGAAATATCTTTGACACTTTAGACTACGTCCACCGCTGGCAAATTATTTTTTTGTCAAAATGTCACCTATATTTTTGCAAACTAAATACATGTTTAAAAAATAATAACGTGTAAATCGTTATTTTTTAAACATGTATCTAGGTCGCAAACATTTCCTTTTGCAAAGAATTTTTTTACAATTGATTTGTATTTTTATGCACTACGTTGTAATTAAACCAATCAATGTAAACAAACTTTAAAATTATCTACTAAATCAAAGTGTTGAAATTTGGACAAATAGAGCAGCTTAACCTTGGAAGACGTCATATATATATTCAGTCCTCCTGTTCTGTTGCATGGACCTCTGATTAGAAGACACAAGTTACGGTGAAGTAACGGTAAGAAAGCGGCCAGGCTTACTAACTACATTGATTTCTGAAACCGGGACAGTTTGCAAGAGTTTGTTTGACAACAGACGCAATGCTGCACAGACTGATACTCGGGTATCAAGACTGCCTAATCATCCGATTGCTGATTCAAGAAAGGCGGTCTGCTTCTTTCACATGGATATTCCGAGAGGTGTCACCAGCCACCACCATGAAGTCACCAGAAATTATGAGAAATAATTATTTTAGACATACATAATTTTTTCCGTCTATCTGTTTGTCTTCAGATTCTACTGATGCACATATCTTCAGTGGAGCGGCTCCCAATTACGACGACTGGCTCCCCGCTTCTGGTGCGAACTAAGACTTTTCAGTCGGTGTTCTTCGTGATCCCTCGCGAGAGGGATTGTCACGAGATGCACCAAACACTCCTTAGATTGAGCCAACCAGGTAAATTCACATGTTCAATTGAAATAACCCAAAAAGGTAAAAGTTGCTAAACTATGGAGTAACGAATATAGAAAACATAATCATTATGGTCTAGCAAGTTTACAGCAAAGCAGTATTTAGACTCTGGATGACTTGATACTACATTGAATAAACAAGTTATGTGAATGAGTTTTATACGTATCATTTCAATGTAAGAGCTGAATAACTGGTAGAAGTAGATAATATTCTCTTAAATCTAGTTATATCGCTAGCTCATGGAAAATGAAAAATGCTCTATCCACCCGAATTATGTACCTACTCAGCGTTTTCATCTTTATATTTTCTTATTAAATTTAGACATCTTTTGGAAATGCGTACTTAGCAATAGATCTCATAAAATATCCTCAGATTTAGTAATCGTTTCCATTAAATATAATGCAATATAATTTATTATAAATTTCGGATACAAAAAAAACATCTGGAAATAACAAAGTTTATTTTTTATCTGTAGGGATAATAGTGTGTGTAATATTTTTAGAAAGCATTTAAAGTAATAAAATGTATTGACACCAAAAGTTCACTATTCGTTTTTAACCAAGAATTACGTTAATTATATTAAAATAATGATGATGATTATCTAGGTAAAAGAAATATCGATATGCTACATAATTTTCTTTATTATTTTCAGTACACATTGACGAATTATATTGCTTCCACTACAAGTCGACGCCCGATGATTTACCAAAGTCGGCGGGATGGAACTTCTTTGATATACAGACAGAGTATCAGAGGATGAACGTGCCCAATGACCAGTGGGTCCTTTGCAACGCTAATAAGGATTATGAGGTACTTTTAATATCACTTTTTCCCACATATATTTTTAGTATGTTATTGTAACATAGCTTCAGTTGCGTCACACAGTTTTCTACGAGTACACTTCATGAAGTCAACATGAACTAAACTCGTAGGAAGATACTTAAAAAGGATTAGAGAGATGGCATATTAATCATTTCGTCATTGTACTTTTTGTACGAAAGAGGATTGATGTTGAATTTCTTTCAGATGTCAAAATAGAACATTTCATAACAGTTTTTTAATGCCAATATAGCAATTACATATATTTTATACACATACATTAGTTAACTTGTGATTTTTGTGCAGCTATGCGATACCTACCCAAGTGCGGTGTATGTACCGGCACGCGCTTCTACTGCTGTTCTCCTCGGAAGTGCCAGCTTCAGGTCCCGTGGGCGTCTCCCGGTGCTCGCCTACTTGCACCACAACAAAGCAGCCATTGCTAGATGCAGCCAGCCGCTTAGCGGGTTCTCTGCCAGGTATATAGTCACTGAATTGATATCGCTGCTTGCGTCTATTTTTTAAAACATTAGCTTAACGGAATTGAACTGTTAATTTTTAAATAAGGAAACGCTAAAATCGTTAAAATTGATTAATATATTCTTTTTTATGATTTTTAAACATAATACTCTGTAAAATAAATAATAACTTTATAATTTACTAGCTGACCGGCGCAACTTCGTCTGCGTCTCTCAATAGTAATAAATTTTCTCCGTTTTTGAAACATTCTTCATTGGTGCTCCGCTCCTATTGGTCTTAGCGTGATGATATATAGCCTATAGCCTTCCTCGATAAATGGGCTATCTAACACTGAAAGAATTTTTCAAATCGGACCAGTAGTTCCTGAGATTATCGCGTTCAAACAAACAAACAAACAAACAAACAAACAAACTCTTCAGCTTTATAATATTAGTATAGATTTTACATACCTGTTATTGCTATAAATTGTGTAAACAATTATTTTGACGGCTATTTCAGATGCATGGAAGATGAACAAATGCTTGACCTGATCAGGCGGGCAAATCCCAACTGTGGCTATATGTACGTAGTGGACACACGGCCGAGAGTACGTAAATTATTTGTTATTTTTGTTTTTTAGAAATGAAAACTAAAAACGCTTTAATTTCGCTAGTAATGTCAGAACTGGATTTTGTCATAAACACCTCTATTGCGTCTGTTGCGACTTCTGTCTCTTTCTACCACACTGCAAATTTTAGACAATTGGTTTGATGGCGCAGAGATGCCTGCTCACTTTGCTTTAATTATCATTAGTATGTTCAATTCCTGTAATACTTGAATAACAATAGTAAAGGAGAATTAAATCATATGCATAATTTATAATTCCCGTGGTTAACAACAGCCGAAAATGAAGTTTGACTCGGTCAACAGCCAAGCATAAACTCTTAGATAGACCTCACTTCATTTTGTTCAGTTATTATCGCATAAAATAGATAATAACTATTCAAAACTTCCGATGAGTTATGTTACATACGTTTACATAGGACCGTCCGCAAAGCGGTTACGAACGCGATGCGGTGGCGTTTTATTTCCGCGCGAATAAAATCGCACAGTGAAATATAGCTCTGCGGGCGGGCCCTTATACACTTAATACTCTGCTATGTTGCTATGTTTAATTTAATTGGTTCAGTTGAGTATTAAGTGTATTCGAATAAATTTCTGTTATGTTATAATATCTGCCGTCTAGTTCTTTAGCATAATGATAATGAGATTAACGTATTTTTAGATTAACGCGATGGTAAACCGCGCAGCGGGCAAAGGCTACGAGAACGAAGCCTTCTACGAGAACATCAAATTTCAGTTTATGGGTATCGGCAATATCCATGTAATGAGGAAGAGCCTTCTAAAACTTGTAGAGAGTACGTATTAAAAGCATGACGATAAAAAAAACTGTAATTGTTGTATCTAGAGCAATTCATTCTAATATTCTAACATAGATTAGCAAACATGTAGAGATTAAAACTTCGAAATGTATGTTACAGTCAGAACTCTTAGGCCGTCAAAAGTATTAAGCGGCGGTTTAAGCGGCATTGGGCAATAAGTACTATTGACTTGCTGCGTCAGATACCATCTATTGCTGGTGAATCATTTGGGTTACAGACAGTGGTGGTAACAAACAGTGATTTAAAGAATTATATTTGTTAACTCAAAGTTCTAATCAGTTTTGTTCTCGCTTCTGTCAGTGGCTATGCTCATGTAAATGTAATTATCATTATTCCTCGTTAAAAAAACTTTGAAAAGGATTGTATACCTATATACGTAGAATAACTGATTTTTAAACGTATTAGATTGTTTTTGTTTTTAGTGAAGTTTTGGTGTAATACCGATCATAATTAATGATCTCTGCTAATTAATCTGAATGCAGGCATTTATTCAATTTAAATAATTTATTGAATGCTGTACTCTTTCCAAATTTATGATTATTAAAAAAAATTGTTGCCAATATAAAATAGGATAGTACCTCTCACACGCAGCCATATGTTTTGTTTTGTACTTAGACTAGTGTCTAAATACAAAACAAAACACATTACAAACTAATAGTTGTTTATAATTTCAGTATGGATTTTATATGATAAAAACGAGTTCTAAATATTCCAGCCTGTGATCAGAACACACCAACAATGTCGTCCTTCCTCAGCGGCTTGGAGTCGTCGGGTTGGCTCAAACATATAAAGTGAGTTTTAATTCCTATTCTTCATTAATATTTATACCTCAGTGTGTGATTAAATACTGATCGAGTTAATTTTAGCAAATGATTACTGGAAAGGAAAATCTTGATTAATTCGTCTGTTATTATTGATAATATAATTCGGGTTTCTGGTAGACTTGTCCTCTACTTGTGTGGTTACTTGGCTACATTTATGGAATTGCCGCACCTTGTTTTCACCAAAAATAGTAGGTCTAGTAGTAACTGAGTATAATGAACCCAAAAGTCATTTACATTTGGGCTCAGTATACTTAGTATGACACTTTTATATAATATTAGAATGGAGAACATCTCATGAGATCATCGTTTTTTTTCTTTCCATGATGAAAGGACCAGGCACTATTTCAACATTGCATAATTTATAATGCCCGGCAAATTTGAATAATAATAAATATAATCGGATCCTTCGTTTTTTTTTTTATATTTATTAAACACGCGCTAAAACTAAACAGAAAATAGCTGGATTCTGTAACTGTAATATTCCTCAATAAAAAAATATAGTTTTAAAAAACTAAAAAACACTATTTCTATAGAAAACCAAACTAAAAAATAGAAAATAAATTTGAAAAAGAGCGTAGGGTGCTTTTTACTATTGACAACAAGTTTTTACTTTTATAGGCAACATTTTTTTTTTAAATTAGTGTATTGTCATCGGTCTTCGATATATCTACAAAGTTTGAACGAATTCTGACCGTTTAAAGTCAGTCAAAATCACGCCCAAAGGAGTCGGTTACAAACATACAATTGAAGCTAATATAAAGCGTGTAAAAAGGAATTAGTACCAATAAACGAGTTCACTCTTATATATAAGTATTTTTAGCAGCAGTCTAGTTACTATAGTACAGGCTCTGCCTAGTTTGGGATCAGACGGCTGCGTGTGAGATATGTAAGATTATATAACTAAAGTAATTTCAAAGATATCTCCCCGCATTAGGAATATATCCTGTGTCGTCGGGGACTTTACAAACATACATGAAACTTAAACAAGGAACACCCAAAGAAATGCAGCCTTTATATTAGTTAGTTATAAGTAGTTAATTAGTACTTAGTAGCAAGCGGCGGCGGCGGTATACTATTCGGATCTTGTGTCAACTAGGGTGAATTTCCGTGCGTTTAAAATGTAGAAATTAAATATAGCTCACTTAGGACCCATAATATTTTGTGGCCGTGGCGCTTTCCTGTTTAAAAGGCCTCTCTCGCTTTGCTAAGGAGGGAAGTGGATTTATTGTATTTCTAACTCTTCCAATTTTCTTCTGATTAATTTCGTTATAATTTCGGTTCCAAGACATTTTATATTTTCCTGGGACTTCCCGAGTGTCATAACTCGGTGTATTCGTGGGTCACTGCTGTTGATCCTGGTGTACAGGTGTTACAGTGGTGGGCGTGTGGAACGGATAAGTCCTCTTAAAAAAAAAGTAGTAGCAACCGCTAAATATAGCTTGGCTCGCGCAGGTCGATCCTGGACACGTCGTGGTGGATCGCGTGCGCGCTGGAGAGCGGCGTGAGCGTGTGCGTGCACTGCAGCGACGGCTGGGACCGCACCGCGCAGGTGTGCTCGCTCGCCGCGCTCTGCCTCGACCCTCACTACCGCACCATCAACGGCTACCAGGTACCGCCCTCCGCCCTCGCACTTGCCACTTCGCCGTTTTACGTGCTTGCATACTATCTATATATTAATACGTGAAGAAAGTTCTTTGTATTCTTTTTAATATAATATCGGGATTTAATAAGATACATATTACTTACTTTGGGAATACTGGAATGATTATATGTAGAAGTGTATAAAGCTAATATTTTGAAACAATGTATCCTAAAAAGTAAAAAAACGGTTAAATATAACTAATACTATGGATTATGTCCCCGTTATGATACAAAAGTCTATACAATGAGAGTTCGAGTTATACTGGTCAAGAAGAAAAACAAAACGGTCCACATTCCGCCGCATGGGGAACTCTAGTATAATATAGAAAAAAATCATAGCTGCAATCATAGCATTAAAATGTTGATGTAAACGAGTTAGTGTATTCAAATAAATAACAATGAAATTTTCAATAACTTTGAAAAACAAGTTTATTTCCGAATACTAAAATGTATGTGTATGTGTTTATGGGTCGTAGGCACTAATAGAAAAAGACTGGCTGTCGTTCGGTCACAAGTTCACACACCGGTGCGGGCACATCGCTTGCGACGGCCGCGAGCGGTCTCCGGTCTTCACACAACTACTGGACTGTACCTGGCAACTGTTGCGGCAGAGACCAGAGGTAAACAGGATTTTTTTTAATTTATGTAGATTTTTTGTCCATATATTAATAAGATAACAAAATTGTTTCCACATATTTTTGAGAAAATTTAACGAAGGAGCATGAAATATGGAATACTTCAATTCAAGTCCTGCTGACCATTAAAATAACGTAAAAAACATAAAACCGAATGAATTACCTATTTTCGATATTCGGGTTGACGTCTCTTCTTTATAGTTAGGTGCCAATTTATACTTGATACTCATCTAAAATTCAGCAAATATTGCTTGCCTTTATATTTCAAACGAATATTTGACATATAAATATGCATTTATTAATATAAATAAATAAATACAATAAATATTCTTCTTACTTACCAAACAAAGGACCTTTATTTTCAAATCACAAAATTAAGTTCAAAATAGTAGTATCAGTTTGATTTTTATTCATGTGGTCATTAGAAGAAATTTATCAAACTAGCTTCATTACCTGCATTAACTATATCTGTACATATATATAATAATCTTGCTATATTCCATTCGCGTTAAGGAAATAATGACGCGTCGTCAAGCCCTGCCCCCTAACCAATCAGGTTTCAAGAAATAATCGTTTCGTACCAAAGCTTGAAACCTGATTGGTCAAAGTGCGGTGCTTGATCGATGTGTTACTACTTTTTTAACGCTAATGAACTATAATAGTACTTGTATTAATTGCCCTTGCAACTACAGAATTAGTTTTTCTTAGAAATCGAGTACCTAAAAACATATGTTTTAAATCCCATCAACCAAAATATCACAGAAAAATAATAGAACAATAAATTGTAATTCAAAAATACGTTACAGGCTTTCCAGTTCAACGAGCGGTTCCTATTGACGTTGCATGACCACGCGCACGCTTGTCAGTACGGCACCTTCGTGGGTAACTGCGAGAAGGACAGGCGGGACCTGAGGTATGGACCATCTACCCGTATTATACTATTATTGTAGCAAAAGAATACTCTTCATAGGACAAGCCTTGCCACTTAAACTTAATAACCCAGCGGTGGCGTTAATATTCCAAAAAAATGTTTCATGACATAGGAGACAAACGTACAAGTAGGTCACCTGATGGTGTCTACAACTGCCTATGGACCCCTGCAACTTGACGAGTCACAAGTGTGTGGCCGGCCGTTTATTCCACCCACCTTCCAGTTTACCGTAGGACAAACCGTGGTTTAAGCGGTCGCCACGCCGCTTCCTACTACGCTGAGTGTTGTGGGTTCGATCCTCACATGGGAAGACACTGTGTGATCCACAAATTGTTGTTTGTGTGTATTATTTGTGTCTGTTATTGTGGATTTATTTCTAATGCAGGATCTGTCTTACCAAAAAAAACCTTCATTTGTCCTCCGGTAAACTCTCACGCACTCAGTGATATGCAACGAAATAATTGTTTAACACCGCTTTATGGTATCACTCTTATGCAGTCGGCCCAAATATGACTTCCTTTTTCTTTTTAAATGTGTGCTACTATAACATTGTAATATGCCTTATGTCTGTAGGTTGTCAGAGCGGTCCTTCTCTTTATGGGGTTACATGGCCAGTCATCTAAACGAGTATAAGAATCCTTTATACAATCCTAAGTCTCACCCTGATGTGCTCAAACCTGATCTCAATGCGCAAAGTATCAGGTAAGTTTATTCATATTAAACATAATTCAAATGCCATTGTATTAACATGCATTCTCAATTTACTGCTGATCTGTATGAAAAGGCAGTTTGTTTTTCTTTTGTTTCTTTCAGTTTATTCAGCTATTGTCTCAGCTATAATACTTTTATGCCTGCTTAGATTTTGGCGTGGCATGTACTGCCGCTACGAGAGCGGCGTCCACCCACGCGAGCCGCTCGGCGACCTGCTGCCCGCCGCCACAGAGCACTGCTCCGCGCTAGAGCACCACATCAACTATCTCACCAAGGTACAGTACTGGGGCAGGAGCTGCTGCCCGCCGCCACAGAGCACTGCTCCGCGCTAGAGCACCACATCAACTATCTCACCAAGGTACAGTACTGGGGCAGGAGCTGCTGCCCGCCGCCACAGAGCACTGCTAGAGCACCACATCAACTATCTCACCAAGGTACAGTACTGGGGCAGGAGCTGCTGCCCGCCGCCACAGAACACTGCTCCGCGCTAGAGCACCACATCAACTATCTCACCAAGGTACAGTACTGGGGCAGGAGCTGCTGCCCGCCGCCACAGAGCACTGCTAGAGCACCACATCAACTATCTCACCAAGGTACAGTACTGGGGCAGGAGCTGCTGCCCGCCGCCACAGAGCACTGCTCCGCGCTAGAGCACCACATCAACTATCTCACCAAGGTACAGTACTGGGGCAGGAGCTGCTGCCCGCCGCCACAGAGCACTGCTAGAGCACCACATCAACTATCTCACCAAGGTACAGTACTGGGGCAGGAGCTGCTGCCCGCCGCCACAGAACACTGCTCCGCGCTAGAGCACCACATCAACTATCTCACCAAGGTACAGTACTGGGGCAGGAGCTGCTGCCCGCCGCCACAGAGCACTGCTAGAGCACCACATCAACTATCTCACCAAGGTACAGTACTGGGGCAGGAGCTGCTGCCCGCCGCCACAGAGCACTGCTCCGCGCTAGAGCACCACATCAACTATCTCACCAAGGTACAGTACTGGGGCAGGAGCTGCTGCCCGCCGCCACAGAGCACTGCTCCGCGCTAGAGCACCACATCAACTATCTCACCAAGGTACAGTACTGGGGCAGGAGCTGCTGCCCGCCGCCACAGAGCACTGCTAGAGCACCACATCAACTATCTCACCAAGGTACAGTACTGGGGCAGGAGCTGCTGCCCGCCGCCACAGAACACTGCTCCGCGCTAGAGCACCACATCAACTATCTCACCAAGGTACAGTACTGGGGCAGGAGCTGCTGCCCGCCGCCACAGAGCACTGCTCCGCGCTAGAGCACCACATCAACTATCTCACCAAGGTACAGTACTGGGGCAGGAGCTGCTGCCCGCCGCCACAGAGCACTGCTAGAGCACCACATCAACTATCTCACCAAGGTACAGTACTGGGGCAGGAGCTGCTGCCCGCCGCCACAGAGCACTGCTCCGCGCTAGAGCACCACATCAACTATCTCACCAAGGTACAGTACTGGGGCAGGAGCTGCTGCCCGCCGCCACAGAGCACTGCTCCGCGCTAGAGCACCACATCAACTATCTCACCAAGGTACAGTACTGGGGCAGGAGCTGCTGCCCGCCGCCACAGAGCACTGCTAGAGCACCACATCAACTATCTCACCAAGGTACAGTACTGGGGCAGGAGCTGCTGCCCGCCGCCACGGAGCACTGCTCCGCGCTAGAGCACCACATCAACTATCTCACCAAGGTACAGTACTGGGGCAGGAGCTGCTGCCCGCCGCCACAGAGCACTGCTAGAGCACCACATCAACTATCTCACCAAGGTACAGTACTGGGGCAGGAGCTGCTGCCCGCCGCCACAGAGCACTGCTCCGCGCTAGAGCACCACAGCAACTTGGTGAGATCACCAATGTACAGCAGTGCTGCAGGACCTGCTTGTTTAAATAGTTTCGTTTGAAGTCCAGATATTTGTGAGAGTTAGGAGCCCAAACTGGGATACCCTGTCCTATGGACTCCTGGCTCGCCCCTCTCAGATTAAAATTATTACCAATATAACATATAACAATTAAAATTATTTTGCAGTGTTCACAGTGGGAGAATAAAGTAATATAAAGGAAATACAAACTTAAAAAATTATAATATTAAGTAAATACAATCTTATTGTAACAAAAAACAAACTATAAAATTGTATTAGTATGTCTCTGTGTGAACTGTGTTATGTTGTGTTTGCGTGCGTACGGGTCCGAGTATGTTGAGTGCATGTGTGTATATATCACATTGTTTTGTTTGTTACAGAGAATAACAACTTTCAAGAATCTTTTAGGAGGCAAGAAAGCAGATAAGAATAAAGAAACAACAGTAGTTAATTACCAGAACGGGAATGTGAACTCTGTTGAAATTGAAACTAAGACTGAAGAACTTCAAATCGACAACAAGTATGTCGTCTTACTCTCACTCAGTGCAATATAAATTAACACTAAAATGAGTTTATAAATATTCCGCCTGAATGAAACAAACAACTTTCAAGCTTCTATGTCTAATATGTATGTAGATACAAAAAAAGTATATAAGTATTGTCACGAAACGAAAAAAGTTCTATTAGACGCGCAATTCCGGGAACCGTTTAATAAAAATAATAATGCAGGTTGGCATGGAAGAATAAGTTCTATAACATCGAAGCGATCGAAGAGAATACAAGTGTATAAACTCGTCGATTAATCCGGACTATTATTGAGTATTGAGTGAACGTCTTAAGGTGGAGTAATAATAAAGTCTCTATAGTCTTATTAAGGCTTATTATTTCGAATAAACGAACCCTGACTCTACATTTTTTTTGCATAAAAAGTAGCCTATTCAGGGTCTTCCATATCGTCCACATCAATCTAGGGTGTCAGCTACCTCTACACCAAATGTAATCAAAATTGGTCCAGCCGTTTGGCGTGAAGAAGTAACAAACATAAAACACACACACACAAACTTTCGCTTTTATAATATTAGTGTGAGAGCTTGAACAGGTCAGGTTTGCATACTTGTTACTCGGTTTTCATGGCTTAAATTGTTACAGGTTATTGTACGAGTCTGGTGGCACTCTGTCGGAGCTCGAGTGCGCGAACCATGACCACCCACTTAAAGATACAACACCAAAATCCAACAAGATATTCCTCATCACAGAGGTATGAATTGTTTTATTACTACGAGCCGAGGTTGGTGATTAAATCAGTACATTGATAAATAATCTAATAGCAACAAATTACTTAAATTAAACTCAATAATCCGAAATAATTACATACATTTGATAAATGAATTCATTTTAAATTCATTAAACAAATATATAAAATATTTGTTTGTCCGCATCAGAATCGCTTTCTCCCCTCAATATAAACATTTGTCTGCAGTAATAAGCCATAAATTTTACTAATTTACATAATAATTGTGGTTGCTTATACTTACGGAAATAGAAGACGTAGAGTTATTGTTTAGGTACAAAGTGATAACTACTTGATGATATTGTTTTATTAGAAGACAGACGACACGATACCGGCCACCTTCGCACTTCTAGAAAAAGAGGTAAACACAGTGGCCTTAGACTGGAAGAGTATTAAGAACGTCACCGAGTGCAGTTGTTCCACTCCTCTGGACCATTTTAGTCGGAAGGTAAGATAGAAAAGATTTTACATGTATATGGCAAAGGATAACCTGACACTAATCTTCCTTGAGATTAGAATCGTTTTTAGAGGGGACAAAGGAAGAACAATTCAGTTTCTTTTGTACTTAGGGTAGTTAGGGTAAGTAGAACGGATAGATCGTTAGCTAGGATATGATATACTGTAAGGAACATTAATTGGTAAATTTGTTTATTACTAAAAATATACATACTCGTATTATGGCAAATAATTTATATTTAGAGTAAATAATAACTTGATACGGCTCACGCATGGCCGTTTGATTTCAAACTAGACGTAGCCCGTATTAGGGCAACCAGACTGCGGATAAATATATTTACTATATAATAAATTATATTCAGACTCTTAAATTGTGTGATGAGCACACAAATGATTGTGCTCATCACACAATTATTTGTTCTGGGTGGGAATCGAATCGACGACCTCTGAATTAGTATTCAGATTTATGAGTCACTAGGCAAACAGCAGTGCTATTTTCTAAGGAAACATCTGTGCGTACAGTGTACGTACAGTGTCGAACTTCAAACTAACCTAGTTTGAAATTCGTCGCTATGACAGCGCTGTAGCGTTGAATTTCAAACGAACTTAGTTTGAAGTTCGACGCTGCGCGTAAGGTCCTGTCCTTATAGAATAGCACTGCAGGTCGGTACGTGGTTCGTTAGTATAAATACTTAGTATAGTCCGAAGAAATTGTAAATATCCATGTCGTATTAAGTATACATAATGCGAGTCGTGGTTACTAATTTGGTATACGCAGCACCACTGCTGGGGCTGCGGGCGCTGCGTGTGCACGCGCTGCGTGTGTGCGCGTGCGCCACTGCCCGCGCTGGCGGCGCCCCGCCCCGCGCCCCTGTGCGCCGCGTGCGCGCCCGAGGCCAGCGCGCCCGCCACCCCCGCCACCCCCGCCGCGCTCGCCACACCCGCCGCTCCCCTGCCCACGCCCGCGCCGGGTAACTACCACACCTACCATCCTAGCGTTCTTTTTTTAATTAATTTTGTTATAGATGAATTACCTTGGAAAGAACATTAACTTTTCTCTGAAATAACAGTTAAGGGGGTAAAGAACAAGAAATTCTACACACTAAAAAGGAATTTGATTTTTCTTACACTTAACCACTTAAACGATCATGAAAAAAATTCAAAATTTCAGATTCAAAAAATGTGTTTGTCGTAATTTTTTTTTAAATTTTCAGAAATCGTGACACCCGCTAACTAGACCATTAAAGGAAACGAGACTCGAACATACTAACAGAAACCATTTTAATTGGATATGTTAAACAAAAATGTGTAAATTAGCCACTTTTCCACAACCACTTCTTTGGAAATTTGGAATTATTTCATAAAAATAATAGATAACATTCCTTCTCAGTGTTCAAGATTAGTGTTAAGAAATAAATATCTTTAATACAAGTAAATTAATGCCTGGCAGATCATCCTCATGTTCTCAATTCAAAAATATGTTGCTGTATTCTGAACTTGAATAAGTTTGTAACCCTATTGTCTATGACTGTAATATTTTTTCAAACGCTGTCATTGATAGAAACCTATTGTAAAAAATAATAATGAAAAATATACTTATAATATTTCTCTAGAATATGTTGTAAAGCTTTAGATGTACGAGTAATACTAAATTTTTTTTGACGTAAATGCTGAACATATCGAACTCAATGACACATATATGTAAATAGTTGATTAAATCAAATTATAAGATATATAGCTTTCATTTCTCAGTTTCTTTTACTTTGTTTCTTTTTAATCTTACAGAGGTCCGTACACTCTTTGAGTGTTAATTACACATTCCACAAAAAATGTATAGCTTACGACGTATACAAGTATAGGCAAAGCAAATAACAAAAATATTTAATTCCCACGAAGTCCTTAGAGCACGCCATACTCTTTCTTTCTCATTCTTTTACTTTAATCCATTTATATGTGTGATATTGAAACAAATGTTTTACATATAACGTGTTGTTTGTTGTATTTATCTTAAATGTCACGTTGACAGACTTTTTTTAAATTGTGTATTTTCAGTTTTTAGTTCCAAACATGTAGTTAATTTTTAATTCAACATGTTTCATTTTCATTACATTACATTGGATTGGATCACATTTTCTTGTGCTATATTAACATGTTTGTTCGTATTTCATGAGCTGCCGTAGCATTCACCCGATCATCATAATTTGGCCAAGGATTTAAGGATATAGGTACTACCTATATATCCTTATTTTTTTATGGAGAAAGGCTACCTATTAGGTAGGAAAGAAAGGCTACCTATGGTATAAAAAAATTGACCTTGGGTTGAAAAAATAATAACGAGTGTATCATTCAATTATCAAGTTAGTGTAATGTTACGTCAAACCTAAAAATAAAAAAGGAACTTGAAGAAGTCTTATAGGATTAACACAAGTTTCAAATTTTGGCCAATTCGTACTATACATACAGTAAAATTACGTTAAATTCTAAGAAATTAAATAGGTTGCACATGCTACGAGTATTTATATGGCGTAATTATTCTCAGAGTCAAGGGGTCTTGATGTAAGTTGCATACCATATTGCATTTTATGTTTGCATTTATTTATCTCTTTTGCATTATTTTGGATTGTTTAATCTTTATCTTGTTTTATATATGATGAGTTTACCATAGATCACTAAAATAAAATTGCCTTTTAGATTTGACAAAAATGATGTTTAGGTATTACAAAAAGAATTGGTTTTATAGTATTTATTATAAACATTAGCATTCATTCCTGAATTGAAAAAGTTTACGTTATCGAATTAGTACGGACGAAATTTAAGCCTTAAAAGTCCGCAGTTTTAACCTACACCATCACACACTACTCGCAGAAAACAGAGGGTTTAGTGCGAGTGTATTTCACATCGGTATTTCGGCGTTGGTATTTCTGGAGAGTTCAGTGCGGGCCAATCGCTACGCTGAACGCAATAACCGTGGCGATCGAGTTGATGTAAAATGAATTCACGCTAGGCCCTCAGATAACCGTGCACATGCACGGTGTACGTATAACTTAGATACACAGTGCCGTGTCGTGATTCACGTCATAGTATGTTACCGCCAGTATGCTTGCGGAAACTTTAGATAAATCTATCCCGCCCCAATATTATTCACATGATTTCCTGTATTAGTGTAATTTTGTTAAGGAGGTTTAAAATTTGTTTCCATTTTATATATAAGTGGTCGTATTACGGTGCGTATTAGTAGTCGTATCAAGAAAAAAATACCTACTTGTAAATATTAGATGATTACGATATTGTTAGTTAATGATTAATCTATAAAATATGAAAATAAATGTATATCAACCTTGAATTGGCTTTTATTGTCTTCTGACAAGTAATTTCGTCTTTATGCTTTTTTTAAACTGGTTGTAAAAATACAATATAACAACATTTTTTTAACATTCAGGGTTACTGGGTAAGTCGATCTAAATTCTTTAAGGGGTTATAGTAGCCATCATTTCTGATAGATTTCACTATGAAATACCATGCCCCAAACCAAACCATGTTCAAGATATTGGACTTTTAAGAAATTTTTTTAAATTGCCCTTAAAGTATTTAGGTCGCCTTACCCAGTAACCCTGTATATTTTTAATTCTAACGGGGTCACTTGAGGCCTGGCACGTATTTGTGATTTTTGAATTGCCATGGATGGTGGTAGTCGCTTACCATTAAGTGACACGTCTACTCGGTTGCCCTCTATATAAAAAAAAAACACAAACTAAATAATTATGGGGATCAGGAAGTTTGCACGAAACTATTTCCTAGTCCTATTGAGGACTATGTTAGTTATGTGACTAATTCCTGACGCCAATTATTTTTATGACTCAATCTAATAAAATGTTAGAAATGAAATCTGAGCAATTAATACAGTTGCTAACAGTCAATTATATTGGCAATATTATTCAAAAGATTTGAACCCACTCTGCGTAACTCTCGACGCGAAATGTATCGCCGATTACTGATATTTTTGTCTTTTCTCTTTATAACGTCATGTGAAATCAAAAAGAAATCCGGAATCGACATTGAAAAGAATCTTATGATGGGCATAGATACGACTCATGAAAGGAAAATAGATAAAGACACAATTATAACTCGAAATTTGAAATTAGAAAAACGTAATCGTGGACAGAAATGTAAGTTTTTAATTGACCCAGAAAATCTCATTTCACGTAGGTATTTAGAATTTTAAAAATTGATATTTTTAAGCTCCTAACAAGATAGAAGAAGATCGCGAGCCAGATTGGTCATACAGTACATTTCCCAAAGAGGTAGCAGCTCATGTCACTCAGTTTAAGAGAAATATGAGCGAATGTTTAAAAGAAGTACAAGCCAATGATAAAAGACCAATTAAACGCCTCTCGCCTAAAATGGAATCGCCGGTGCACGCAGAATGCCTCATTGCTTGCGTTTTGAAGCGGAATGGCGTGATTATAAACGGAAAAATAAATAAAGGTACTGTTTAACAGTTTATTCGTGAACGTACCGGATAACTCATTAATTGTACGTATTTTAGAAATTAAGTAAATTTCAATAAAGATCAAAGTGATTGTTGATCACACTTGTGATTTTAAGGACCTGGCGAAGGCGCAGAATTGTCTAAGCACCGTCAGTCGAGATTTCGAGTAATTATATATTACTCTGTAGTAATCATTATTTATTTAATAACAACTGTGTCCTACACACAACTTCAACACCAATCAACGATTTTAGTCGCAACACTTTTGATGTAACTCTATCAGCAATGGACTATCGACTACTACTAACTAAATAGTATTTTGTCTATCACTTAGAGCCTATCGTAGTATAGTATCGCCAAATAACTCTGCGCTAACGAAGTTCGCAAGAGGAGCGCCGTCAAAGTTATTTCATAAAATTCTTTTTTTTTTAATAATATCTTATGTACACTAAAGTCATAGATCAACACATACAATAACAGCAATCTGTTTTGTCAAATATTTAGCAAATTAATGTATACCTATAGCGAACTCGTTTCCAAGGGGTAGTATCTTATGATATGGCTTCTCTTTTTTAATAGCCTCCAACAACTAAATGGGCTCTCTAACCTCCATTTGTCTATCCCGTATTGAAACTTCTTGTCTCCTGAAACAATTATTAATACGGTAGTTATTTGGAAACATAATAATAATAGACTACGAGTAGTACCAGACTGTCGTGTGTTTACATAGTACACTATGGTAACCAATCTGCTGATAAACGTACATATATATTACTAGATACATACATATTATATAAAAAATACACCCAGACACAGAACAAATGCTTGTGCTCATCACACAATATTTGTCCTGGATGGACTCCTGCTTGGCAGTCAGGTTCACTAACCACTAGAAAAAAGGGCTCGTCAAAGGAATATTTTTGTACAATACGTTTTTCAGTAACTCATTAATTTTTAATAAAGTTATTTTGAAGGTGTTTGTGTTAGAACGTCGAAGCTCTTGAATCAGTAGACATCTTTTTAGGCTTTGCACAGTTGAGTAAAAAAGTGAGTATATTATAGATACTTACTGTTTGTTTTACATCTTCCTTCATTTTTTTTTGTGTTTATAATTATTTTCTTTTCGTTTTTCCATATCTACTTGAAATAGTTTTAAAAGTAAGTTCCCATTTTAATGAGTACTAACATTTGTGTTTGATATAAATTCGTAAAAAAATACAAAATAAAACTCAGATACCTATTTCCTCTAAATTTTGCTCAAAGAATATAAATTAGCTGTATGGATAGTCTGACACTCGCAACCCACCTTTATGCTTGTCCAAATCATTGATTTGGAACTAGGAACGGCCGTGCTGTCGCCTTGAATATTTGGGTGGCACTGAAGTTTTTGTTTTGCAATTTCTACGTACTAAAATGTATGGACAACACGGTTCTTTTTTCGTTAAAAATGAATGATGTTTAAGCTTAGATTGCGGCTTTTTGTCCGAATTAGTAAAGGTTAACGGTTCAACGGTGAGTGTATTATCAATACTTTTTTCTCGCGTTTGAAAAAAACTATTTTCAAATTTAGAACAAATATAAATAACAGAGATATTAAAAATAGCAACGGTCGATTTTGATCAATGTTGAGGATTTTTTTCTCAAAAATAAAGAATTATTGCGCCTTTCTTAGGGACGTGCCTCTTAAGCACTTGCCTTGCACCGCTGCAAGGGCAGTCGTGTATCTCGCTCTAACGCATTTAGTAATTGTTTTGCACGGTGCAAGTGCAACATGTCGGCGGCCACTAGATTTTTAAAAATGTGTTTTAGTGTAAAACGCAACTCGCGCGTAATCAAACGACGGGCTACTGTGCAACTTCGCGGCACTCGCAATACCATGATAAATATTATTGTATAAGACGGCCATATTTCCGTGGATTTTTCCGTTCGTTTTACTTAATTTAACCCAGTTTGATCGCAATTTTAATCTGTCTCTTGCGGATAAAAAATTACGTGATATTTGCCGAGACTCCCCTTTTCCTAAAGTATGATTGGATGAGATTCAGCTCGACCTTGACCTCGGTGTGATGACATGATTTCTAAATCATATGATTTATAACATGTGAGTGTGATTTAATTCCCTCCATATTTAATCTTATGTACTTCTTTTTTGTTACATTCAGTTTATAAGATGTATTTGTGTGCTTACTACGTTTGTTTGCGTGTGTACCTCTGCTCAACATTCGGTTTGCAGCCAACTTCGTTGACGTAGTTATTCGGCGCGTAGCATACTACTTGGTAAAGGTCTTTTTTTAAATTTGTAACAAACTCTAAGGGAATGGTGTCTGTTCGGCGCGTAAGCTAGGATGAGAGTAAGAAACTTTAGCCGGCCAACAGATCAAGGAGCATAGCGATACAAAAATATAGAACTCTTCCTTTAAAATAAGGCTTTTTGCTTTTAAATCACACATCATTTTTAATACCACTGAGTAAAACTTAATTCAATATATTATTACAGATAATTTAATTTCACTTGTGGGCAAATTTTACTCTAAAGATACAAAGCTAATGAAGAAACTGGATAAAAATTTAGATCGATGCATTGAATCAAGTGTGCGCTATCAAAACGAGTGTGAGCTGGCGTCACATCTGAATGATTGCACAAACGATCTGATGATCAGCAACAAACACAAACTTACCGTCAACTATTAAAAACCTACTTACTACTGGATTGTTGTTTTATTGAACCCTTCATTGTTTGTTAAGGAGGTACATATGAAGTAGGTAACTGGTCATAAACGTTCTTAGTTTATTACAATGGAATGTAAATAAGTATAACTATTTCGCATTGTGTCTCAGAAGTCAATATCTCAATGGTAAAAGGCGGAATGGTGGATTTACTAAGACTCCACGTATACCGATGACGTGAAATGTCTCAGTAAAGCCATTCAGAGGATGATTGACGAAAGAAAGTATATTGAGACACTTATAGAACGGAGGGAAAACTGGCTAAAAATTATAAATGTTACTTCAACCACACAAGGTTTCAACCACACTTGTGTGATTATACCGCAGAATTTTAGCTTAAACCTACTTTTGTTTAGTTTTTTTTACCAAGATTTTCATATCGGTGGTATTCTTATATTTGTTACTTCACAACTCCGTCCTTTATGATTAAATTTGGCATTTTTTTATTTTATTTAGGAGGATATTCTTACCTGCCATTTGGTTAAATTCAAATTTGAAAGTGAAAAAAATGAAGGAATGACGAATACAGTTTATTGAAATTCTTCATCATGACACAAGCGAATTATTTAAATTAATTATTCAAAAGTTAATTATTCTTTGACGCATGTGTAAATATAAGATTGCAGTGTAGGTATTCTCCATCCATCAAGACCAGGACGGTATACTCCATCTCAAAATAGTATTTAGTTAATGTGTAAAAGTCATAATAATAATTTGGAAGAAATAAATCTTCTTCTTTTTTTAGTACACTTATGATACATTGAAGCCAGTTCCATGGCACTTTTGGGAAAGGTATGTGGGGGAACGTGTGTTATGTGCCTCTAACACAAAGGAAGGATCCTCTGACCGAACGAGGTGGTCATGCCTGGTGGGTCACGCCCTACGGTTGCTTTTGGAAATTAGTATATATGCTAATCGGCGTGAGAAATATTCATATTGCGATACAGGATTTGCAATTACTCCGTGGTTTGGTGTGTTTTTCGTGAGATGGCACTCTAGTATGTTTCTTTGTTTCACTGTATCTGGAAGTCGCCACAGATAATAATAATTATCCTTAATCTTTTTCTTTAACAACATTTATCCATTCCAGAATAACAGCCATCGATTTGGATAGCAATTTACAAGAAATAAAACCAATTGATTGTAAACAGTTGAATTGTTTATTCAGCAAAATATTACTAAAGAATATATATATAACTTACTTTCAGATCATAAACATAATGGGATATTTTGGACGGATTGTATAATAATAGTACAATTAAAATTATTTCTTTCTATAAATAAAATTTACCTGATCTAATAAATACATAAAATAATTTCATAAATAAGTCTGAATAAAAATCAGTTTTCCATTTAGACTTACAAAGCCTACCTTAGTGAATTACGGAAAACTATTTTCCGGACACTTGATAAAATATTACATTATATCAACAATACAAAGTAACAATAATAAATTTTACCCTCCATCTACCTGTAAAGTGTTACCTACTTACAATATGTGGCTTGGAAACTAAAGTTAGGACCAGACTTGGACGGATAGAGTAAAAATAATACTCTAATTTACGTTAGTAATTAAACTTATATGTAAATGTTCACAAAGTTATGGATAGAACTGGGTTTAAGATTTGACGACAGTATTGAACGGCGTGGCGAAACACTAGTCTGCGAGCTGAAGAACCTATAGCATTCGAGACAGATATATGAGTTCGAAAGAAAGATGATAGACAAAGAAAGATGAAACATCGTAACAAGCTGGCCTGCCTCGCTCAATACTATATCAAACCTTGAACCTTTTATTATAGGTAGAAATTACAGTGTAGGAATAAACTATGTTTAAACAATATCCGGGCATAAGGCACTATATGGAATATGTTAAAAAGGTAAGGCACGGTTGTCACAATCGAATATGTTAAAGCCTTCATAAAATTCTAAACAAAATAGGTTAGTACAACGTCATGATCTATAAAAAGCCTGGTGGGTTGTCTCTTGTGTATTTACAGTTACCTATATCATCATTATTACAAAGCTATTCTTATAACTACAATGAAATTAAAATGTAAATGTTAACATGTTAAAACAGCATGTAATATACAACAAAGCATATACTTATAACAAATAAAAATGTTTATTTTCTACAACACTTTGTGCTGATATGTACACGTATGCGCATTACACACAATAAAATATTAAGAACTTTGTTCTAACGAAATATACAGATTTGTTGTTGTCGTATAATTTGTAAATTAAAAACATTTCAAGTAAACTACTAAAAATATTAATTAAAATATCAACCGTGAGATATGTTGAACGCTTAGACTTATATTATTTAAGTAATTTTTTAATGAAATACTTAGTAAAATGTACATCCTTATATAAAAAAGTAAAAACATTTATATATTTTGATATAAAATGTTACATCTATTTTATGCTAAATTCAAATCTATCAGTGTCATTTCCTACAGAGTAAATAGTTTTGCAATATTTTGGAGATTCAACTCCTTATTAATAAGTTCATTGTTTTATTGAACAGTCAAAAGTGGTAATCAAAAGACCTTCAGTATGTTTCTAGTAATTTATGTCCATTTTTCTTCCTTTTACTCGTAGTTAATTATTTATATAATTTAAATGCATCGTGTACGAATAATTAAATGTAGACACACAATAAAAAAAACTAAGAATAGTGTTTCTGGCACAATTAAAATTGATGCTTAGAAGGTGAGATATCCAAAACTTTTAATGTACTTAAAATGTGGGTAGTTTTAAACCAAGTAATTATTTAATGACTACAAAATTCATATTATCTCTTTATGGACATATAAATTACAAGAATGACTGTCTTATTCATTTTTTATTTTTAGTTTGTTTTGTCTTTTATATCCCTGCAAATGGCCTAAGACTTAAAAATATTTCAGAATGGCCAATTTTCACAATAAACTGTATAAATATCATGTGCAGTTTACCTACGTTATATCTAGCAGAATAGACTGATTCAGACTTCAGTACTATGTGTCTGTATACGTACTTTTTTCTGGCTTCCATTCCTATTTAGGGGTGGCGAATGTCCTGAATAGCCAGGGTTCTGTATGCCGAGGCCTCCGGGCTCACCTTCTCTGGGTCTCGGCTTCTTCAGCGAAGACCTGAGGGGTGACCTGGTGATGGTACTGGCGTCTGACATTCCTGTGAGAGTAGTCGCAGTCGTGTTCATAGATGCTACGCTCCCGTGACCGTTTGTGCTGTACGGCTTCCCCGACGCATCAGTCATTGATATACCTTTAATTAAGTATATAAGATGATTAAATATATATTAAAACGTATAGTTTTGCTTCATTAAGTTATAAAATTTAGGTAAGCTTAAAGTCAGAATATTCTGGGGAAAAATAAAAGGTATGAAAAGTATTGATGGATGTTATTAGAAAATCATAGCGTGATTTAAGTAAGTTACTATTGACTTAAAGTTCCGACTTTTCTTAAAACGTAATCTAGTAAATTTAAGAGGACGTGTAGGGGCAATTAACAAGTATCCTTATTAGAAAATCAGTAGCTGACGTGCTAAATCTATTAACATTCTAGTGAGAAAACGAATAACTAATTGACTGAATTTAAGCAAACTGCGAGACTTATCACTGTACAATAGAATCTTTTAATATACTGTGGTGCACTGTCCCACTTAGGTGTTAGGTGTGAACACGAGACGACGATAAATATGTTGAATTTTAAATTTATAAGATACAATACATAATCTTGGTCTTGATTCATACAAGTTGCGAAAGTTTCCAAAAGAATACCTTACCTCTTCCATCTTTGAACCCAGGATTGTTGATGGTTGTGCCTTCTGGTGCGGCGAGCGGGTTGGTGGGGTCTCCGCCGGCCCGCCGCGAGTACAACGCGTCATACACCGACATAACGAACAGTACGCAGTTTACGACTATACTTACTATCTGAAAACAAAACGGTACAAATGTCAAAAAAACCCTTTTCCCTATACTCGAAGTATAAGACGGTCTTACTTACCAAATTTGTTAGGTCAACGGAAAATACCCTATAAATTGATTCCCTTGAGGGTTCCTTTTTTTTTCCTTTTGAGGTACGGAACCCTAAAATATTGATTAGTATGATTCAAACGACTATAGAAAATAAAAAAGCCGTGTGGTGTCGTGGGACACCCGATAGGAACGAAGTTGTGACGATCGAGTTAAACTGATTCGACACGATTTTAATTACAACGCCATCTATGAAAGCGGCTATTACCTACATATTTTTCAGTTGGTTTCTAATTAAAACAATTTATACATTGGTAAAATCTCCTTGAGAAATGATTTCCTATCTATTCGATAGATGGCGCTGAATGACTGACAAGTGACAATTCAAAATAAATACTGAGATGAAAAGTAATGATTTCCTATCTATTCGATAGATGGCGCTGAATGACTGACATAAAAAGTGTCGTTACAACTTTTCGTGAGATTTTTTTCCGTCTAGCCCCTCGAAGGGCGCGATTCCCCTTTCACAACGCGCGATAAGGAACTTCGTTCCAACTATTTCAAGTGTCAATTGTTGTTGAAGTAAATGGCTCACTGATCGTATTTCTTCAGTCAGTCAGTCCAGGTAACTTATCAACTGTACAAATACAAAAATTGTGTGTGGTGGTAGTACTACATTTTTTGTCACGCGGCTTAAATCCGAGCAGAACTCTAAACAAGGCATTTAACCCAGCACCAAAGTATTAGCAATGTATAGATAGTGTTATTACTACAGACAGTGTCAAAGAAACAAAATATGGCAATACCTGAACATAAAAAGCAGTTCCCCTCGATACGACGAAACCTCTATCATTGCCCTGTACAGCGAAAAGGCTTGCTGCAGCGATTGACAGTAAAGCTGAAAATACAAACATATTGTTTACATTCGAGTTCCACACGGAGTCACATATCGTAATGCGGATTTTACTGGGTAATGTACTCGTAGTACACATTTTACACAGTCACACTTGTGTCTCTAAGTAGTGTAACTAAGTAATGTGACTAAATAATTTTATATACCGCTAGCATTTCATTGAAATTAATAATTTTTATTTTGCAATGGTTTTGTAAATTTCTTTAAAATTTACCATCCTTCTGTTTGGACGATCTCAATAGAATCTTCACCCGTCGTAGCAAAAGACAGACGAAGATTTGTTTATGACATTTACTGTAATGACTATTTATCTTTACAAATAAATAAACTTGAAGGGTCTGTTTGTAATGTCAAAGTAATAGTTTTTTTCATGCCTGCCTTAAAACAGGTTTAATTTTTTTTGTCGGTCTGTCCGTTTGTACCGGGTAATCTTCTAAACGGCTTTACAGATAGTTGTCTATTTAAGGAGCAACTTAGGCTATTTTTCCTCTCAGAAAAACCCTCCTAATCGAATCGAATCGAACCCACTAAGGCAGCGCTTTTCAAATTCGCAGTTGCAGGTAACATAAGTTATAAACTAAACGTGTAATGTTATAAACAGAAAAATGACTAACTTCAGATCTGCAAACTTAAAAAAAAATATAAACTTTTTTTCGAAATGGAAATTACCCAATATTGTCAAAATATGCACGCATCTTCCTAAATCCGACTCAGAAAAACAACTAAAGCAGTCACAAAAGCCTTCTCCTGATATAAGAGAAGAAAATCGTCTTAGATTAACCTTAAAGCCTGAAATAAGGTCAAAGTTGTACTAACTGGCTAACAAAGCGAGTGCCAACTTCATCATGATGAGGTGCGTGTACTTGATACCGACGCGCTCTTTGGACGAGATCATGGCCAGTTGCAGCACGGACAGCACGCAGAACACGCCTAACACTGTCACGGCTATGGCCGCCACCACGCCGGCTATGTACACCGCCGCTGAAATTACACAAATTTAACATTAGAAAAAATAGGTTTCAATGATCTTAAATAATAAGTACAGATTAAATAATTTGGTGTGAAATACTTAAACTGTCTGAAGTTGTCTTTCTTGTAACAAACTTAATCAATGATACATATTTTGACTTTAATTAATGATACATATTATATTTTGTATATTTTCTTCCCTCTATAAGTACCAGTATAAGGCATCGGTAACCGTTACGGCTATCATTATAAATTAAAGGACTTCTCTGTATTATTTACTGTTTCATTAAAATATTATTATGGCTAATTTTTGAACGCACATGTGAATAGCTCGCAAAAGCGCGAGGTTTCCCTAAAGGTTTTTGACGACGTAAAGTAAACACTGTGACTAATCGTCGTATTTTGAAGACTCTGGCCCCCCATAAACGGGTTACGTAGTATAGGTACGTTCCCAATGGAACTATGTCAGGAGTGTGTGTTCTTTAGTCATGGTATTTATGTTTATTTTTTGGCTTTCGTCGGTTGACTTTTTTGTATTTTTAGTAGTAGTATAACAACATCTGTCTTCGAAACAGACCTAAGGGGTGTTCTCATGTTCCAATATAAAGTAATTAACCTATTCTAATATAATAAAGTCCAAGGGATTTTTGTTTATGAAGTTTATTATCACACAATGACCATAAGAAGTGCAGCCGCCAACACTAATGCAGGTGAACCTGCAGGTAACATTACAACAACTGAAAATGTACCGGAAATTATTAAGATATATTTACCTGAAGTTAAAGAGACAAAACTTTTCACTCCCGTATCCAGTAAAGGACTGTTGCGAACTAGACAAGTGACTGACATAAAGGCCTAGTCTAACTTGTCACGCGAACAGGGCTTTTCTCTATTACTCATTTTATTTAATGCAACTGGTGACCTCTTAAACCTCGAACTAAGGGATCGAATTTACAGGAAAAAGTGGGCCTTTTCGAAATTAATTTAGCAAGTTAGTAGAATTAATTTAGCAAAGTAATATTTAACAAAATAGTTTCTAATTACTTCTTTATTAAGTATTTTGTATTTGTACTGTTTGGTTCAACTTTAATAACAAAAATAGTTTTTTCAGTAATGTTAAGAACTAAGTATTAATATTCTTAAGTTCGAACTTAATTTCATTTTAAGTTTACGATCACTGTTAAAATAAATTACATTAAATATCTCTGTTCGAATTTAAAACAAGTACTACTGAGTTCAACGCGCATACATCGTGAAAATTGTATTCAACTGCTATCTTCCTTAAACTTCTCAAATCGGTTTATGAATGACGGAGTTCTGAGACAACAAACATACAAAAGAACCTAAAGTCGGTCAAAATACACCAAACTCACACTTTCTGATCTGAATATAATAACCTTAATCTTTTATTTTTTGCCAAATTGCGCCAAGTCCACAGTCATAGCGTTCGTATATGTAATTAGTAAGGTAATGTGTTGTCTATGTGTTTTACATATTTGGGTCGGGTTCCAAGGCCGTTCTCGTGACAAATTTCAGGTCAGTTTTTAAGCTAATGAGTTCTTTACATATGTTACGTAATTTACAAGTTAGCATGCATGTTGTATAATACCTCTGCAAGAGTAATAACTATCCATAAATTACGACATTTGAATTGAGTAATTTTTTTGTACTTGGTCTTCGTCCGTGTCTCAGTGTATCGTCGCTTTGTTGGCTTTACAAGAAAAGGAGCTTTTTCGGTTAGATGTAGGTATTTTCTATTATTTGAAATTCGTATACCGCATTCTATTGTATTTCATGTTTTTTCGTATTGCAAGTATTCAATTCCAAAATTTTATACATTAAATAGGTTTAGGTGGTCCGACGAACTGGTGAAGGCCGCAGAAAGCCGTTGGCTGTGGGCAGCACAAGACTGGTTGTTGTGGCGAACCTTAGAGGATGCCTATGTCCTACAGTGGTTTTGCCGCCGTGGATGCGCTTCAGCCGGTCATCATCGAGTGGGCAAGGCGGCAGCACAGGACCCTTTTTCCTTCCGACTAACGCAGGTCCTTTCCGGGCGCAGCTGCTTTGAGAGGTACCTGCACCGCTTGGAGGGAATTGAGACCCACCTGTCACCACTGCTATTGCAGTGAGGACTCTGCTTAGCACACGCTGAAAATTTGCCTGGCTTGGGCGTCGCAGCATCGGATCCTCATTGTAATAATTGGAAAGGATCTCTCGCTACCTGCTGTCATACGCTCCATGGTCGGTAGTGACAGTTGTTTTACCGCAGTCGCTTCCTTCTGCGAAGACGTCATCTCGCAGAAGGAGGCGGCGGATAGTGGATGACCTCCACTCGGACCCAATTCGCCGCCGCTTTTACCAGCGCCTGATGCCGCCCTAGGTGTGGCCGCGGGTGGACGGGACGGGTTCTCTCCTCCACCCGCTATAAAGTCGAGGAGGGGACGTCCGCGTGTGCTGGACGTTGCCTAAATAGAGAATGAACGCGAAGGTTGCGGGCAGGTGCTAGGAGGGGTCTGGATGTCTTAATAACAGTAGTTCCCGGATCCCTCCTATTACAGCCGCAGAGTGGCACACCGTGTGCTTGTAGTCGGTCCGACTCTGAGAGGAAGTAGGTATTCACAATGTTTTCCAGTACTAATAGCGTACTGACAACACATAAAAGTGAAAATAAAAAATATTTTATTTGAATAACCAAAGTACATTAGCATTTGGCTAGATTGATAGTTAAGTATAAAACATACGATACAAAGAATACTACAAGTTTCTTTATTTTGTTATTGCTTTAAATATTCCCAGTCCATTTTATACCATTTATTTAATAACCTCCGATTGGCGAAGTTATAAAAATCATTGTTACTGTATCTTTTTTGCATGTAATCATTCAACAACCTGTAACTATTACTGAAACTTAAAAAAAAACTATGTAAAAAAAAATCTAATTGTGTAAAACGGCGTGTGAAAACTTGATTACTAAATGTGGATTCAGAAAATATATTATTATTAACTAATTTAATAATAAAAGTGATCATTTTCATCAGATGTTCACAACGGGCATTTTCTTACTGAATAGGGAATTTTTCACGTGACCCGTAACCTTTTTTTTATGTGGTTATGTCGGACTCAAACCGACTAAGAACCGGACGCCGTCTCAAGTACCAGAGGCCGGGGAACCAGTTGCGGGCTAGAAAGGAAATCCCGACCTACCCCGGTCGTGACTGAATGTGGAAACGACGGTGTTCCCATTCTACTAAAAAAAGGTTAAAATTTGAAAAAAAATATGTAAATGATAGTTCGAAACGAAAGCGACATAATTTGTTTGTGTCACGGCGGCTTACAAGTCTACCAAACGAATGAGAATAGCCAAAGACTTACATCGAAAGTAAGTTTCATAACTTCCCATTTGTATTTTTAAACAACGAGGACATCCTGACGTCCAAATTTGTAAACAAATGTATGTAGTGTACACAAGAAGCGTATGGACGCAACGATTGGTCGTACGAGTATTATGTGCTAAACAATGCGCGTCTGCTGCGAGTGTTCGACTTTCATACTGATAAATAAATAACAGTGCAGCTTTGGTCAACACCTACGCAATAAGTATACTCGTAAACTGATTTTTTAAAAAACCTCAACACACGAACCTATATCTTGTGCTTTTACATTTGTATCATACAAAAAAGTATACAAGGTCTGATTAGGTTAAAACTAGATGGCGTGTATATTTATCATTTACAAATTTTGCAGTTTCTACAATTCATAAATTAAAAAGACGTAATCCAATTCCAATTATATTAAAAAAATCCTTTTTTTTTCCATAGAATTTTTTTTGATGGACCTGTTTACACGACTAAATAAATAGACACGACAAAGAGGAATCAATTTCAAATTTGTTAAACAATTTTCTGTATATTTTTGTTTATCAGAATGAAAACTTGAAGCAAACCCTATACCACGGGTGTCTGGCCAGGTTGTTATAGTAGGCCAAAACATCCTTCCTAAAGAGAGGCCATGTCCAGCAGTTACTGCTTAGACTGTTAGATTTTTTATTCGAAAAAAAATCTAGCACATATCCATCAGTTGCTATTGTTTTTTAATTTATTACAGGCAGCAAATAATTGCATAAAATCTGTACAATTTGATAACATGATGACTTCAACGTTTTGTAATTGTAAGTTAAAACACAATTTATAGACACAAACACTATGATTACTAGCAATTGAAAAAGATTGGCCGTGGCCTGTGGGCTATTGTCTGTTCATATGTATTATACTAATAGTAATAAATTTCTGGAATCGGAGTATGTTAGGGCCCGTCCGCACAGCGATGTTTCGCCGCGCGGTTTTTATGCGGAAATAAATTCGCGTTCAATTTGCATCTTTTCTTTTTTGCGCGAATTTCTTCCGCCGGTGCGGATAGTCCTATATATCTCATTTGTCACAGAATTTTGCGGAAAAAAAACGCGCGGTGAAATATCGCTGTGCGGACGGGCCCTAACTCGCTATATTGTACGTTGTATTGGTCTTGTCGATAGCTATTGAATGACAACGATGATAAATGACAGCGACACTTACACACTTATTGAAACGTGTCGTCATGACGCAACTAAGCAGATTCTGAGGGGCAATCAAAGGCGGCAATGCCTTTGTGGCGATAGAGTTGCAGGTGTTCATGGGCGGCGGTAGTCACATATCATCGGAGGGCCTAAAGTAAGTTTATTTCAACTCTACTCGTCACGGTGACCGCGTTTGGAGCTGTAAACCTTCACCAATCGCAACGCCGAACGCGCTCGCTGTCCAGAGCGAGAAGTGAAATAAACTTATACTAAGCCCTCAGGTGATCGTTTGCCTCGTATGCCATAAGGCATAATGAAAGCACGAATTTGACTGAACAGAGGCAGAAGTGCGAGTTTAGCGCGTTTGGCGTTGCGATTGGTGCAAATTTCAGTGCGGGCCAATAGCAGCGACGAACGCGGTCGCTGTGATGATCTACGAGTAGTAGATGTAAAATAAACT